CCTCAGGCAGGGCCCATCCTCATCAGTGAGGAGCCTTTTCATGGCCTGGCTCTCCAGCCTGGCCAGGGCTCCCAGGGGTACTGTTGTATGTCCTGGGACAGAGCCATGAACCCACTCAGCCCACCCCAGTCCCTGGAGGGGACCCCAAGGTGGGTAGGATGAAGAGACAGAGCAGACAGGTGCAGCCACGAGCAGCTCGATCTCTCCCCACCAGGGAGAGCAGACCACAGGGCCACACAGCAACCTGCGTGTGTGACAGGCTGCCGACAGGCATGGGTCCCCATGTGACAATGTGAGACAAGGACCCCATGGCAGGAGGAGGAGGGCAGCAGGCGGGCACACCCCTCACTCCTCACCCTGCTCCGGCCCAGCGCCCACCCACCTGTCTCCATGGCGGATCTCCTGCCTCTTCCGTCCGTCGAAGGACACCCACACGGTGTTCCTTGCTTCTGGTGACAACATGATCTGCAGGGATCAAGAAGACAGGTGTGACATCTCAGAACCCTGCCTTGGAGGGCGGCACCGACTGGGGGGCCTTGGAGGTGCCCACAGCACCCGCTAGAGGCCAAGGCCAGTTCTGGGAGGAGAAGACGTCCACCCTCTGCTGGAACCCAGGGCCAGGCCCTGCTCCAGCTCACTGACTCCACGCAGAGCAGCCCCCACTCCGTGGGGACAGAGCACCCCGAGGGGCTGCCCAGCTCTCAGCGCAGCCCTGGCCCCCCCACCCCCCCCACCCCCCGGCAGTGCGAGCCCAATGGGCAGAGATGAGGACAGAAGGGGGGGACCCTGCGGGGGAACCGGGGGACGAGGCCGCTGGCAGAAGTGGAGGTCAGCACCACGAGCCCCCCTGGCGACAACTCGGCCTGGAAAGGGTGGCGAGGGCTCTAACCTTGAGTTCGACTCCTGCAGGGACCACGATGGCCCGGAATGACACGCAAGTGGGGACAGATGGGAGTGATCATGATGGCCGGCACGTTGGGGTGGATCATGGAGGCCCCGGCCGCCACTGCGTATGCCGTGCTGCCCGTTGGGGTGGAGACGATCACGCCTGAGGAGCAGTTGCAGGCTCACTCTCCATGCACCCCCTGCCCTCGTGGAGTCCCAAGGCGCCCACGACAGACCCGATGCCCACGTAGGCTCACTCTCCATGCACCCACCGCCCGCGTCGAGTCCCAGGGCACCCATGACAGACCCGATGCCACATACCATCACCCTGCACCGTGGTGATGAGGTGCCCGTCCAGGTAGACGTCCACGTTGGACAGGTAGGAGGAGGGGCCTCTGTCAATCACCACTTCGTTTAAGACCTGGGGGAGGTGAGGCCAGCACACACTGAGGGGCGGAGCAGCCTCCAGGTGGGTCTGTGCCACAGGCACCTGTGCTGCTCCTGGGCTGTCTGGAAGGTCCTGAGGGGGGACTCCCCTTGGGGTCCAACCAAAGTCCCCCACCTTCCCCTCCCGAGGCCAGGAGACAGCTGAGGACCAGCTGAGGGACGTGTCCACTGACCTGGTGCTGCATGACCTGCTTCCCGGCCTCCGTGTCCCAGTCCGAGGCCAGCACCCCATTCTCACTGACCCCGTTAGGGATGGCCATCTTCTTCCCTCTGAGCTCCTTCACGACCTTGACCTTCAGCCGGCTCCGGAGAATAATAGCTGCGTTCCCTAGGGACCCGGGCGGGTCACACCTCATAGCAAGCAGAGCCCCCCCTTGACCAGGGACCCCCCTTTCTCCTCCCAAAGCGAGAGCAACACTTCTGTCTTTTGTGATAACCCTCCACTGCCACTCGGCACGCAGTGTCCTCGACCTGGGACCTGCTCACACTTCTCGATGTTAGGAAACACGCCTGAGCCAATCAAGTGTAGAAATCGCTGAACCTTGGAGGGGGGAGGGGAGTAGGAGGGGGAAGGTGTGGGGTACCTGGTGATGGGAGGAGACTTGAGCGGGTGGTGAGCACCCGGTACAGCGCTGGGGACTGTACACGGGAAACCGGTAGTTCTGTTAACCAGCATCACCCAATAAACTCAATAGGGGGAGGGGGGTCTCTGAAACCTGAAATACTACGTTTCCCTGAACTCTTTAAAAAACCCCAAACCAAGGGAGAAGATGAGGCCGGGCTCAGAGCTGCTGTGGGTTCCAGAACATTCCGACTCACCCTGTATCACCTGAGTCACTTGGGTCTGAAAGTTCTCAAAGTTGAAGGGGGTCAGGAAGCCCAGCGAGCCCAGGTGGAACGCCATGACGGGAGGCACGCTGCCCTGAGGTCGACGGAGCAGTCACTAGCTGACCAGTTGTCCTGGTCACCCGTGTGGCTGACCACATGCTCCCCAGGGCCAGTGCCTGCAGGGGGCGGCGCCAGGCCGTGTGACGTGACCACTGAGGTCAGCAAGGCCAGGAGGGCCCTCTCCACGGCCTCCAGGCCTGACCTCTGACCCCTGGCTGGGCCATGCAGGAGTGAGGTGGGCTCAGGGCTCAGGACAGCCCGCTGGGCTCCTGTGCAGACTCTCCCCTCTGGGGCCACCCAGGGACCCGAACCCCAGGCCCTGGAGGGTCACCCCCACGGCCCCTCCCCCAGCTCCAGCACCACAGAGAGGTGCTGGCTGTCTGCACCCGCATCCGTCAGACCGAGAACCCTGACGCTCCCTGCGCAGCCCTGCAGCGGGAGGCCGCACGGACTCACCTGGAAGAGCGAGGAGGCGTAGAGCAGGGTCCCGTCCCCGCCCAGGCAGATGATGAAATCGATCTGGTTGGAAATGTCGTCATAGTCTAGAAGGAGCGAGAGGCGCGTCAGCCGCGGGAGGGAGCATGACTCTGTTCCCGCAGGCACAGCGCAGGCGCTCACCTTCTCGGAAGGTGCAGAACTTCTTCTTCACGGGCCCGAAGCTGTCGTCACCCACAATAGCAGGGTCTTCTAGAACCTTCTTCTCCACATACACGATCATGTTGTTCTCCTGGGGGCAGAGGGTGCGTCAGCCCCAGAGGCCCAGCTGGCCATCTCAGCGCTTTACGACCAGGGAGACCAATTCCCGCGTCTCGGCTGCGAATCGCCCTCACTGCCCAGATGGCCGCTGTGAAGCGAGCCTCCTGCCTCTCCACCCTGGCTCAGACCCCGGGGCCGTGTCCCCCCGACACCCTGAGGGTCCTGCTGGCTCAGACCCCAGGGCCGTGTCCCCCTGACACCCTGAGGGTCCTGCTGGCTCAGACCCGGGGCCGTGTCCCCCCGACACCCTGAGGGTCCTGCTGGCTCAGACCCGGGGCCGTGTCCCCCCGACACCCGGGGGGTCCTGCTGGCTCAGACCCCGGGGCCCGTGTCCCCCCGACACCCGGGGGGTCCTGCTGGCGGGATGAGGGGTCTGGGCCGCCGCACACCTCCATCAGGTACATGCAGAGCTCCTTGAAGGGCTGCAGCAGGCTGGCGTCCCGGATCTTCTTGATGACGAGGACGCTTTTCGGGGACTTGTTCCACGTCAACCGCTGGCTGGCAGGGTCCTGGATGTGCCTGAGGGAGAGGAGCTCTCGCTGCTGCAGGTGCACCACAGGCGTCAACAGCCCTAGGGCCGGGCCAGCCAAGTCCCGAGGGGCCGCCTCCCTCCTCCTGCCTGGAAGGCCCTGGCTGGGAAGCTGTGTCTCCCAGGCACTTGCTGCCTGAAGCGCCCACTGTGCGCCTTTCTGGTCCCTGATCTCCCCGCTGATCTGAGCTTTCAGTCCCGACAGCACCTAGGGTGACAGCCCTGCAGACCCGATCCCAGACAGACCAGCAGGGCCCTTTGCGGGGTGCCCTCACCCTCGCCCTCGCCCTCTCCCTCACCTTCTCCCTCTCCCTTTCCCTCTCCCTCACCCTCACCCAACCCCTCCCTCCATGGGAGGCAGGACACCAGGCCTCCCACAGACACCCAACCCACCCGCTTCGGACTCTGCCCGGAGGCCATGCAGACCCGCAGGACCCAGGCTTCCTGCTGACTTGTTCACGGGGTGGTGCAGCCCACGGCACACCTCTGCGTGAGCAACTCAGATGACCCCCAACTTTTACAGCTAAAAACCCCCCTTTAAAGTCAGTCGCAGGATCTGGGGTCAGTGACACGCCTGTGGTAACCGTGTGAACACATCACTACACGCCTGTGCACCAGAACGCACAGCACCCAGGACCCAATGTACCCGGGCCTGGTGGTGACGAGGGGCCGGTGGTGAGGAGGATGTGCATGGTGGGGGCAGGTGGGAAATCTATGTACCTCTCCCTCAATTTTGCTGTGAACCTAAAACTGCTCTAATAATTTTTAAAAATATGTTTTTATTGATTTTTGAGAGAGAGAAGCGGCGATGAGAAACAACAGCTGCTTCCTGCACGCCCCCTGCTGGGGGCTGAGTCTGAAACCCGCCACGTGCCCTGACGGAAGCGAACAGGCCACCTCTCCGAGCGCAGGATGGCGCTCCACCCACTGAGCCGCTCTGGCCGGGCCAGGCTGCTTAGCGTTTAAACATGTCTCCTTGGCCCTAACCCAGCCGTGGGCAAACTACGGCCCGCGGGCTGGATCCGGCCCGTTTGAAATGAATAAAACTAAAAAAAAAAAAAAAAAAAAAAAAAAAAAAAAAAGACCGTACCCTTTTATGTAATGATGTTTACTTTGAATTTATATTAGTTCACACAAACACTCCATCCATGCTTTTGTTCCGGCCCTCCGGTCCAGTTTAAGAACCCATTGTGGCCCTCGAGTCAAAAAGTTTGCCCACCCCTGCTCTAACCGGTTTGGCTCAGTGGATAGAGCGTTGGCCTGCGGACTCAAAGGTCCCGGGTTCGATTCCGGTCAAGGGCATGTACCTTGGTTGCGGGCACATCCCCAGTGGGGAGTGTGCAGGAGGCAGCTGATTGATGTTTCTCATCAATGTTTCTAACTCTCTATACCTCTCCCTTTATCTCTGTAAAAAAATCAATAAAATATATATTTAAAATATGCTTTCTCTTTTTAAAAAAATATAAATAAATAAACAAACACGTCTCCTCGGCCACAGGCCACCGCAGGTGCGCGGCCCCAGGGCGGCTCCAGAGCAGATGTGGGAACAGCACCTGGAGGCACGATCTCCTCCAACAAGTCACTCAGATTCTCCAAACAGCCAACGTCTTGCATTTTGGAAACAATTAAAGGAGAAACATATTTGCCCCACCAAGTGTGCGAGTATAATATATGGCATTTTCTTCCTAGATTTTTTACTGAAAAATCAAATCAAGTCAAATCAAAACTGGGCATACTTGCCCCCCCCCCCCCCCCGGCCCCATTCTCAAAGGCACTGGAGACACCCACTTGAGCGACTTCTCACTCAGCACCAGAGCCTCCACACACAGCGACCCCACTGGACGCCCCAGGCAGGGAGCACCCCCCCACACACTCACATGATGGTCTGGGGGTTCTGCAGCACACAGGCCTTTGGTCCAAAAGTGGTCACTGGGCATGGCCCGTGCAGAGAGCGGGTCCTCCTGTGGAGAGAGCACAGCAGGTGACGGCGTGTGGCTCAGTGCAGCCGGTATCAGCTTCTCGGAAACGCTTTCATCCAAATGACAGCACTTGTCCTGTGTGGTCCCGGAGGACGCCGCCCTGGGCTGTCCAGGTAGCACAGCCACTGGAGACACCTGGGCACACCTGGCACCAGCCTCAGAACCAGGACCCACCCCAGAACAGGGCCCTGACCTTGGGGACGGCCTGGAACCTGGGCCTGTGCAGGCTGCCTGTGGGACCAGTCCTCGGCCTACACCTGGGCCTGAGACTGCAGGAAACCATCCCTGGGACCCTAGATGCTAACAGGGACCCCCCCCCCTCAAGCCGCCTGTCAACAAAGACGACGCTCCTGAGCGCCCCACTTCCCAGGAACTGAGAGGTGACAGAATCACAAGCCTCTGGACGAGGGCACTGCGGCCAGCACATCCTGGGTGCCTCGGTGCCCTCCCTTCTCTCGGCCTTGGGGGACTAGTGCCCGCCCCACCAGAAGGACGCCTGGCTTGTCAGAGCAGGGGGATGCGTCCCCCCCACCCCCAGCCTCCAAGGACCTCGCAGGCTCTTCCACAAGGATTGCCACAGGGAGCTGGTCTCACTGCTGAGCTCAGGGCTCCACGCCCTCCTCCCCCGCACACAGAGCAGGCTCCCTCCTGGGCAGCAGCCGCCTGCGCCCAGGTCTGGCTCAGGCTGGAGCTCACAGCCCTCAAGGGCGAGCACGGAGCCACCCCAGGGCTCGGGGACAAAGAGCTTGGAAATGGGTCTGCAGTGGATTTGCTGCGTCAGTGTGGAGCTGGGGCGGGGCGTTCTCCCCTCCCCTGCTGACACCCACAGGCCGACGTGCCCCTGGCCGCTGCACCAGAGCGAAGAACGAAGGGTGTGTGACACACACCCACAGAGCCAAGCCCAGAGCCCGCTGCCGGGAGCCACACCGCACCTTGTGGCCTGGGTGCGGAAGGTCAGCAAAACTCAGGAGGAAGACACCTGGGAGAAGCTGCCTGGCCCAGAGGCTCCGGCTGCCCTCCCCCCATGTGGGTGAGGACTTTCTACCCAGAAAACCCTGCCAGCACCTGTCGCCGCGCCACACCCAGTGAAGGCGCTGTGGGCTCCTCCACCTCACCTGGCACCGCCATGCGCTACTCCCAGGATGCCCCTGGCCTGTCAGACGCGGCCCCGGCTCCAGAGGCAAAGTCACTGTGGCAGCTTCCCCCGAGCCCTGGTGTTTACTGTTCCGGGAACCAGAGCCGGGCCCCCAGGTGTCATCACCTCGCCTGCCCGGCAGGTCGCACGCCGATCTGCACACTGTGACTCAAGGTCTTGTGCAAGAGCAGCGGCGCCGGCCGGGGGTGGAGGTAGGGACACTGGTCCGACCGCCCTGTGGCTGCGGCGGCCCCGCCAGCCCAGCCGGGAACGGGGCCTGGGCCACACTGAGGACAGAGCTGGGCAGCGCCGAGCGCGTGTGCGCGTGCAGCTGGGATGTGCTGGGCCGAGGAGGGCCGTCGTACCTGAACTCCTTGGTGCTCGCCAGGGCGGGCGAGGCAGACAGGCTGCGGGACTTGGCGCGACCCCGGATGGGGTGGACCATCAGACCGTCTTCATCCCCGTGGCAGGCGGCACAGCGGTAGGAGGACGTGTCTGCGCTCAGCCCCCTCCGCACGTTGACTTTCTCCGGCTCCATCTCCATCATCGATGAACAAGGGCTTCGGTCCGAACACCAATCCCTTAATTTAATAAAATAAAGCAAGTAAGAGACGACGCACAGAGCTGCCACCGCTCCGCCCGAAGTGCTGACGGCCCCACCAGGGCCCGCCCCGTCCCAGGCGCCCAAGAGCGTCCGTGGTTCAATGAATCAGAGGATTCAAACGGCCAGAAGCGAGAGTGGCGACCGCACTTCTCTCACGAACCCGGTGGGACACAGCAGTTAAGAGAGAGAATCCAGGGGCATTTTAAACGCCTCTCAGTCCAGAAAAGCTGAACAAACGTAACTAAGGCGGCAGCAGGCACACTGGACTCCGTGCCCTGCAAGCAGAGCCTGCGCTTCCGTCCAAGAAACAGCCACCGAGCGGACCCGTTTCATCCGCGAAGAAAGCCTCAACCTCCGAACCGCGTGAGGGGCCAGGAACCCGCGGCGGAGCAGAGGCAAAACCCGGGCCACCGGCTCTTCCCACCCACTCGGCGCTCAGCTCCTCGTGGACACAGCACCGGTCAGAAAAGGAAGGCTCCGTGTCAACAGGAAGCCGCAGCCTGGCCCCCGGGATTCCTGAGCGCGAGCGGGAGGAATGCGCTCACACACTCACCAGGGCTGGGAGTCAAGGAAGCCTAATAAGGCCGGAGAGGTGACAACTTGGATCATGAAGTGATTTTCTAAGAAAATTCCCAACTGATGAGTGAGAGAGAGAGAGAGAGAGACTGACCTCCCCCAGTGCCGGGGCCGTGACCCCGAAGGTGTCCCTCCCAGGAGTCAGCGTGGAGGGAGGACAGGCCCTGGCTGAGGACGACCCCAGGCCGGGGACCAGCAGGGTGAGGCCACACCAGCCTCCACAGGAACAGGCGGCCGGGCCAGGACACACACCGTCCAGAGCAGGGACGCAGCCTCCTCCTCCAGGAGGCAGGGCTGGCACCAGCGGGGAGTGTGCGGAGGGGAGGGGAGGGCTCTGGGCAGGCCTGGGCCGCCAGGGGAGGTCAAAGGTGACGGGATCCCTGAAGGCACCCCACCCCCGCACTGCAGGCGCCCGAGGAGCCCTGAGCCCCAGGTGACACTGTCCTGGGGGTGAAAGTCACCGAGAACCAGAACCACCGAGGGTCCGACAGCCCCCTGGACCCGAGGCTCACAGCCGAGGTGACGGAAGCACCGAGGCAAGATGACGAGACAGAACAGCATCGGAGGCGGGACTGCGGCAGGTGCAGGGCCTTCTGTGCAGAAAGCCTTCAGGAAGCTACCAGAGTGACTACACCCAACAGGCGAGCTCCTCAGCAAGACTGCAGGAGGCAGCGAATGCACACAAACCAGCAGCACTTCTGTAAACCAGCAACGAACACTAAGCTGGGCTTCAAAAGCACCAGACCCGGCACTAAAGCACAGCACGTGAGGGGCACAGCGGACAGTGTGGGGCTGCTTCCCAGGGTCCGGTGAGCGGCCTGGGCCGGAGCGGGCAGCACACAGCTCGGGCTGGAGTTAACCAGCACCAAGTCGCACGTGTGAACTTCTCATCGGACAAAAGGCCCGAGACTCGCAGTGGTGGGTGGTAGGGGCCCTGCTGTGGGATGTTTTGCGACAAATACGAACTATCTAAAGTGGGGCACTCCTGCCACTCACACCCTGTGACATGTCAATTACGCCCCAATAAGGAAGTTGCAGAATCTATGCAGAAAAGACAGAAGGCGGCAGACAGGTCAGAGGAAACAAGTGAGGAAGGACAGCCGCTGAGGACAGGAGGGGACAGTTCCCTCAGTCCCCCCCTACACTCACAGGCCCCCCCACATCCACAGCAAACCAGCGGCTTCCCTGTGAAGAAGGACAAGCTGAGCCTAAATCCCTCTGGAAGGGGAAGAGGGGAAGGGACCGGCCCGCTGAGCCCGGGGGAGAGCAGCGCTGCCGTGAGCTGCGTGTGGTGCCGACACAAGACGGACAGGCAGGCCAGGGACGGAGGACACCCTCCCCGAGGCGGCCAGTGGGTTTCAGCAGCGGCGCGGGCGACCCCGGGAGGCCCTGTCCCCTCTGCCAGGGCCGCAGCCCCTCCCAGGCAGGCACACGGAGCTCCCCCCGCGCTGGAGGGAGCGCTGGGCAGTCTCAGTGGCCGTGGCTCTGGCGCTGGGCAGTCTCAGTGGCCGTGGCTCCAGCGCTGGGCAGTCTCAGTGGCCGTGGCTCTGGCGAAGGCTTTTAAACAGAACACGAACAGCACAGACTAAGAGAAACCGAACCTCGTTATGACTGAAACCTTTCACCTTCACCAGACCGTTAATACAGGGAAATACACGCGGTGGGTGACAGAAAACATCTGCTAAACACACGTGACAAAGGATTGTAGCAAGAGTATGTACAAACGCCCTAACCGGTTTGGCTCAGTGGCTAGAGCGTCGGCCTGCGGACTCAAGAGTCCCAGGTTCGATTCCGGTCAAGGGCATGTACCTTGGTTGCGGGCACCTCCCCAGGGAACGCCTGCGCCTCCCCCCCGCGGTCCCCTCCCCCCCCTTTCACTGGGTCTCCCTCCCTCCCTCCCTGACCTACAACTGAAGCTACAGACACTGACATTGTTCTGCTCAGGCTCTCGGGGCCTAAAAGGTCCCCCAGCCCCTAAGGGCTGCTGCCCCAGAGGCTGGCGCTCAGGGGTGAGCACTCAACCAGGAGCTGATGCCGCCCCAGGGTGGGGCCAGGAGACACAGGACTGAACCGGTGGAGCCCCCACTGAGTAGCCAAAAGAAGGGGGTCTGGCAAGGAGCCCGGAGGAAGCTGGAGGGTGAGGTCGAAAGGCAGGATTGGCAGGAGGACCACAGCCAGGGACAGGGCTTGACGGTGAAAACCCAGGTGGCTCCCTTACTTCCTTATTCAAACTGCCCAACAGCCACCGCACTGAGCATTGGCTGGCACTTCCCTGGATTAACCCACCCAGGCCTCCCTCGACCCCAGGAGTCCTCCCTCGACCCCAGGAGTCCCCTCTCGACCCCAGGAGTCCTCCCTCGACCCCAGGAGGCCCCAGGAGTCCTCCCTCGACCCCAGGAGGCCGGCACCACAGATGAGAGGAGCGACCCCACATGGGCCCACAACTGGAAGGGTTGTTCAGACCTAAAAACTGAGTCATGGGCTGGCACCCAGAGGCCTGGAGGCCGCCCCCACGAACGCAGAGGCACCAGCAAAACATGTCAATCTCCTCTGACCCGCTCAGGGAGGCCAGTCGACAGCCCGCAGGCCACGCTCCAACAAGGAAATGGTTCGAATTGGGCCCAGTGATATCTGAGAGCCCACAGGGAAGGTGGCAGAGCATAGGAAAAGCACCTGGGGCAGACACGGGGGACATGACAGGCGTCAAACACCAGGGCAGGCCGCCCACCCTGCTGCCCTATCTCCCCCTGCCCACCCGCCCCCCCCCAGCGGAGCCAAAACCAGGAGCAGGGACAGGTGGCATGGAACCAGGCAACCACGCCACCACGCCCGGGCCAGGTCACACAGCTGGCGTCTGGGCCAACACTCCCAGGCCCCTGCTCAACCACAGCAGACACAGCAGGGAGGCCCAACAGAGACCCAAGGCCTGAGCTGGCCAAGGGCCCTGGGAGGCGAGAGGACCCCGCAGACGCAGCTCCCTGGCCCATGGAAACAATGCCTGCCGTCTCCCCGCCCAACGCTCTGGCCAACAGACCTGAGGAGCACAGGCAGGGCTGGCCTCAGGCTGCAAGGAACTGACCCGTGTGGAAGGCAGGCCAGGCCGCCTCCAAACGCCCAGAGGTGAGAGAAGCGGGGAAATAATGCCGATAAAATGACAACGGAAATGGCTGGGCGTGAGCCGTGGTCACTGAGCCTGAGCCGGCGGGGAGGCTGTAACCCTAGAAGCCTGTGGAAAACTCTCATTCCAAGAAGGGACAGAAATAACCACCTGGTAAGGGTACTAGGCCTCGATAAGATAAGGCAAATGAATGAATTAAACCCATGATGCCGAAACGTTCAAAATGGTTATAATTTTATAATCATTAGATTTTTGTGTATTTTGTTTGATGTTATGGGTAACATCAGAAGAATAATTCATTCGATGTAATTATCATTTAAATGGATGAGGGAGTTAAAGTCTGTAACCAGCCCTAACCGGTTTGGCTCAGTGGATAGAGTGTCGGCCTGCGGACTGAAGTCCCGGGTTCGATTCCGGTCAAGGGCGTGTACCTTGGTTGTGGGCAACATCCCCAGTAGGGGGTGTGCAGGAGGCAGCTGATCCATGTTTCTCTCTCGTGGATGTTTCTAACTCTCTATTCCTCTCTATAAAAAATCAATAAAATATTTTAAAAAAATAAAGTCTGTAACCAGTGCTCAAAGTTTAATTTCTAAATTCGTTTATTAGTTAGGAAGTCGGGCACTTAGCATTGTACAGAGTGCCGAGGGCAGGCTCCCTCGCAGGCAGAAGACCACTACCCCAGCCCCGCCTGCACCAGCAGGCAATGAGGGTCCCCCAGCTGCACCGGGAGGAGCCAGAGGCCCTTTCCCAGCCCAGCCCTAACCCACAGCTCGGCTGGTCCTGGAAGAGCTGGACACGGCTGCTAGAGCTAAGCACGCAGGTGGCGCTGTCTCCACTTCTGCCTGCAGTTCACCCATTACAGACGTCACTCCAACCCTCGGGGGGGATGTTTTATGCTCCCAGAGTAGCCTTACTTTGAACACAATATATGCTTAAAAGGAATAAACCAATCGCCAATGGGTTTGCTCTGGGAATGCAAGGTTGGCTCAACCAACGGAAGGCAGCACATCAGCAAGGCAAGAAGGAAACTCACCTGATGGCATCAACTGATGCACAAAACTCCACGCCCGCTTATGACACAGACTCTCCGTTACCAGGAACAGGGAGGACTGTCCTGACCTCGATAAAGAACATCCACAGGCACCTACAGCTGACATCCAACTTAATGGTGAATGTCTTCCCCGACAGGGCGGGCCAGGCTGCGGTCTGCTCTCGCCACTCTGCCTGACAGTACAATGCAGACGTCCGGCCGGCACAGCAGGCAAAGCAGATGGAGAGTGAAG